AGGGGGCAGGGCCAGGGGACAGGGGGCAGGGCCAGGGGGCAGGGACAGGGCACAGGGCCGGCTGCTGCAGCTCATGGAGGCCCAAGCTGTGAGTCTGGCAGGAGGCCGCAGAGGGTCCGGGCCCAGAGTCTGGGGAGGAGCAGAGTGAGCTGTTCTGCATGCCAGCCTGAATTGTCATCGGTCCCTAGGCCAGCCCAGGAGGGCTGTTTCCCGGGGCTGCACTGAGTAGAGGAGGGTGTGTGTGTGTGTGTGTGGAGTGTGATACTTCTCACGAGCATATCTTTTTTGGGGGAAGTGGTTATTGAGATATAATTGACATACGGTAAAATGCACACTTTTTACGCTGGTTTGACCAGCGTTGACCGGCGCAGGCAGTTGTGTGCCCATTACTACAATTAGAGCATAGGGTTTCATCGCCTCTCAGGCTTCCTCATTTCCCTGTGTGGTCAGCTCCCCTTTCCACCCAGCCCATGGCCACCACTGAGCTGCTCATCCCTGCAGCCTTGCCTCTCCCAGAGGAAATGTGCCCTTTCAGTAGACCGGCTGGTTTTCAGGAGTGTGGTCTCCCCGGGAGACAAGCTCTGGGTGCCTGCTGGACCCTCCGGCAGCCCCACTTAGACTGTCAGTCTGAAGCCAGAGTCCACCAAGGCGAGATGTGTCCTCGCACCCTCCTTGCTGGAGCTGAGCCCAGGAGCCCCTCCACCCGGCCCTCAGTCCGTCTTGACCGAACCGCCCTGGGTGGAGTTTGCTTGCAGTCCACCTGCGGGGTGCCTTCCAGCAGTGACCGCGTCTCTGAGCCCCTGGGCCGAGGACAGTTGTTTTACACGACAGCCTTGGGCAGGGCCCCGAGGGCCGAGAGCCTTGTTTTCTAAACAGCCCGCCCGGGCGTTGGTGCCGGGTTGCCGGGACACTGGCACTGCCCGCAGGCCGGCCGCAGCGGGGCTGGTCTGTGGAGCTCTCACAGGATTTGAGTCAGAAACGACCTTCCCGCCGTTCTGTGTCCCCCCTACACACGCAATTGTAGGCCTTTGGTTCTCCCCGTGGCGGGACACCCCACGCGGTCCCCGGGTGCCACGTGGACGCTGGGATTCGCCTGCGGGGTGCAGGTGCCCGGTCCGACTGTGGCCCAGAGAGCTTTGCCCGGCAGGACCCTGACTGCCCTCTGGGTTCTCCAGCATGGGGTGCTCGAGGCCAGCGTGGGGGGCTGTCTGTCATGTCTGCTTGTTCGGTACAGTATCCTGGACCCTCAGCCAAGCCAGGACCAACAGCGTCCAGTTGGAAACAGGGCTACCCTGGCGTCCAGGGCTTGTGCCAGACCGCCCCTTTCCCTTGAGTGTCTGATCGCACTTGGTGTCCCCAGCCCCAGGGGCTTTCTGAGGTGGGCGGGTCAGGCACGTCACCCGCAGAGCAGAGAAGGGGACACCAGGAGGCCCCTGGTGACGGGAGCAGCAGTGGGCCCAGGTCAGACTCCTGGGGAACCCACGGGGGCCTCACCTGCCCGCTGCCACCCACAGGTTGCACAGCTGCCCCTGTTTGTCAGTGATGGAAAGTGGCACCACATCTGCGTCACCTGGACAACCCGGGACGGCACGTGGGAGGCCTTCCAGGACGGGGAGAAGCTCGGCACCGGGGAGAACCTGGCCCCCTGGCACCCCATCAAGCCGGGGGGCGTGCTGATCCTTGGGCAGGAGCAGGTGGGTGCAGGGGACCAGAAGATGGGGGGGTGTGGGCCAGACAAGCAGCATAGGGCGGGGCCTGCAGGCTGCCCCCTTGTCCCGCACAGCTACCCGCCTGCTGGAGCGAGGTCCCCGCTGGCTCTGCTCACACCCTCTTGTTGCCTGGGGGGCAGGGGACCAGGTAGGTGGGGTGGGTTCAGACAGGTTCCAGAATGGAGTGCCCCCGGGGTCAAGGGTCATGTATCCACCCGGGTCACTTCTGCCAGGCACAGTATTGACTCAGGATGCATGGGCTGCTGGCACGGGGCCTGGGGCACTTAGAAATGCCTGTGGGGTGCCCAGCCCATGGGGGGTGGGGTGGGAGGAAAGAGCGAGGCCTCGGGGGGCTGCCCTCCAGAGACCTGCCGCTGCCCAGGAAAGGGGGAACCTGAGCTGGCCGTCTGCTCGCGGGCAGATGAGCATTGACGGTTCAAACCTGTGTTGGAGGTTTGCCGACGGAAAGTGAGGGATCAGACGCCAGGTGCTCTGGGGGCTGGGGCTGGGCTCTTCCTTGGCCCCCGTCACCTCTCCCCTGGGGAGACCCAGGTCTGGCTCTAGCTGAGGGACTTTGGGCAAATGCCTCCCCCTGCTCGCCCAGGTCTCCCCTCTATAAACTGGTAGGTTGGAGTAAGGACACCTCCCAGGCCAGAGCTGAGGGAGCCGGGAAAATGCCCCCGACCCCCCATCCCCCGTTTCTCTCTCAGCTGGCATCTCCCTGAAGCCGGTCCTGCACCCGGAGGATTAGCCTCTGAGCCTCACTGACACAGTTCTGTCCCCTCCCCAGGACATCATTGGGGGCAGGTTCGATGCCACGCAGGCGTTTGTGGGGGAGCTCAGCCAGTTCAACATATGGGACCGCGTCCTTCGAGCCCAGGAAATTGTCAACATCGCCAACTGCTCCACGAACATGCCGGGCAACGTCATCCCCTGGGTGGACAACAACGTCGACGTGTTTGGAGGGGCTTCGAAGTGGCCGGTGGAGACGTGCGAGGAGCGCCTCCTGGACTTGTAGCTGCGCCCAGCTCCGTCCGTTGAGCCGTGTGACCCTCCTGCCGGCCGGGCGGCGGGCTCCCCAGGGACCGAGGCCCTGCAGCACATGCACTGGCCTGTGTGTCCTTCCCGAGATTATTTTGTTTTGGGGGTAGAGCCAGAGTCCCTGGGAAAAGCCCTGAGCTGCAGGGGGGCCACTGCCTGACTTCCTGCTCTGGGGGACTATAGACCTTCGGGTCCTGTGCCGAACCCCTGTAAATGCTAGTGCACCCCAGCCTGTCCGCCCCTCAATCCTTGCTGTCTTGTGTGCGCCGTCTGTCTGTCCCCTTCGCCGGCCGTGCCGCTCTCCTGCCAGAGTGGCCGTGTCCTTTGTGTGTCGAGTACATCCTGCTGACCACTGAGCATGTTCCGGAGCAGCCCCCCGCTCGGCCCCCCCAAGTTCTTTATGTCATGAGCTAGGAAGAAGGCAGGCTGCCCAGGTGGTGCCCTGCCTTCTCCAAGGCACAGGGGGCGTCTGTGGCTCCAGAGAGGGCTGCGGGGGGCACTCAGGATGGAGAAGGCCTGTGGTGGCAGCTGTCCCTTCCCCTCTGTCACCTCTCCCTCCGATCAATGCTTTGTCACCGTGTATGGCTTGCCAAGGCCTCTTTCTCCACTGGTGCCAAAAGTCCCATTACAGCTTGTACAGCCACTCGGTAGGGTTTGGGGAATTTCTTTTCCCATCAGAAAAGGAGAGCCATCTGCAGGCTCCCGTGCCCGACATCTCGCACTGTGGGCAGCCTGCTAGTTTAAATCCATGGTGGTTCCTCTGAGCATTTGACTGTTGAGAGTATTGGCCCCGGAACTTTTTCAGGAAGGGGGTGTCGCTTGGCTGATACTTTGCTCAGTTAATCCAGGCTGCTGAATTGATGGGACAGAGATCGTAGTAATTATTTTAAAGACGAAGTGATGAAGTGGGGAAATTTATAAAGCTAGATATTATATATTTTATTTTTCATACATGTTTGAAGTGCAGATCTGTGGAGATTCCATTCGTAGGACTGCGTTGACATGCCCATCCTGACATTGTGTGCTACCAGGTGATGGTGGAATTTTGATTAAAGTGCACTGGACAATGCCTCGGTGTCTGTTTTCTTTGTGTCTGGGGTTGAGGGCAGAGAGGGCTGAGGCTCTGCACCCCTTCCCCCAGGCAGAATGATTAGCCCGGGCCCGCCTGCAGTGGGCATTCCTGAGGCTGGCTCTGGTGGACCCAGGGAGCCAAGGGTGCTTGCAGGAGGGCCTGGTGCCCATCCCTCCTCAGCTCCAGCTCAGGTGGTGGATGCCCGCAGGCACCGCCCAGCCTCCCTGTCCCCAGCCAACCCTGTCCTCTCTCTCGAGCTCAGCTCCCTGCCCCTCAGCTCCCTGCCCAGGCCTGCGGCCTGTTCAGAGCTCACCCTGCGTGTGCTCTTGCTCTGTCCCACATCATGTTTAATTCTCCTGACTAATCCCAGTTCACAGGTGAGCACATGGGACAGTCAAACAGGGACATTTGTATCGTCGGGCTGTGGAGGGCAGAGCCAGATCAAAGCCCGCCTGTGGCTCTGAAGGCCCTGCCCCTTCCATTGCCCGCTCCCTCCCACCCCTGCTTTCTGGTTCGGCTCAGAGGGGTCTAGTGTCACTGTCCTCCCAGAGCCACCTCAGTGTGGCCACCTGGCCTAGGCAGATGTGTTGATAGTCTCTCTATCTCCACAGACACTAGGTGCTCCCCCCTCACCGCCACTTTCCGTTCGTGTATCTTTGCTCTGTCTCGGTAGCTACAGAATTTAACTTAGGTTGTCTCCTTCCCACGTGGCAATGTCTACATTTACGTTACTCTAAGGGATCAGAGTGTAATCATGGGTACAGGTGACACTATATGCTGAGGCCACATGGAAGCTGTAACCTCTAAAACCAAGATCAGTGCGTCGCCAGGGCTCCTGACGTCCACTGTCAATCCTGTGCATTGACTTGGCAGCAACTGAATATCATCAGTGTTGGGTAGAACAGGAAATTAGGCCAGGTTCCCTGCTTGGAGACCCTGTTCCCACGGTGGTCCCAGAGAAGCGACGTCAGTATGATCAGGAAGCTCGTCAAGGCCAGGAATGTGCGTGCTCGGTCCTGTGACTTTGGCCTTGACAGGCTGCCGGCTTCCCATTGTTTTCTCAAGGAAGCGTAAGGCAAATTTACCAGGCGGCTTGGCTTCTCTCTACAAAGCAGCCGTGCTCTCTGTCATCGTCAGTGCAAATATTCACGAGCACATTTTAAAACCCTGTTGAAGCAGAAATGAAACACGCAAGGTTGCATCTGTGGGTAGATTGACATTTCCTTGTCATCCTTTATCCTACACAAGAGAACACGTCCTCGGGGGGCAATGCAGCCGACCCCCGGCTCTCTGTGGTTGAGGGAGTGGCATTGACCTTGCAGGGTCTATATCTTGGCTCAACACTCAGGTCTTGCAAGAAATACATCTAATTTCTTCAAAAAGAGTATTTATTATGAGACATCATGTCTGCGGCAGACGGGGTGTGATGCACGTACACAGTTTTAAAATAATCATCAATGAGCATCTGTGTACCGACCGCTCAGTTTTAGAAATATTTGTTCAGTGCCTGCTTTGCACCAGATACTATTATAAGTACTTTGTTGACATTGAAGAACAAAAGAAAAGATTCTGCCCTTGTGGATCTAACATTCTGGAGGGAGGCGGCCGATAATAACCACTAGACACATGAGTAAGAAAATTATATAACTTGTTGAAGGTGCTAAGTGCCGTGGGAAAAGGACATGTAGAGCAGAATACAGGGGAAACAGGAGAGTGGTTGTGGGGCTGGGGTTTACAACTTAAGGGGGGGTGATGGAGCGGCCTTCTCGAGAAAGTGACGTTTGAGCAAAGACTTGAAGGAGGGGAGAGAACTGACCACTCAGATCTTTACTGCGTAATTTAACCACGTGGGTTCTTCCGTGACTTGCTTTTTTCAACTTGTTACTATGTTGTTGAGATTTCTCCAGGCTGATGTGTGTAGCTGTAATTTATTAATTTTCACTGCTATGTAGTCTTTTTAAAAAATATACATTTATCTAACTGTTCTTCTGCTGATAGACTTTTGGATGGCATGTATCTACCAGCGCAATCTGTAAGGATGTTCTCTATGGCCTGTGTCTGGGATGCAATGGCTGGGCTGAAAGATAGGAGCATCTTCACACTTAACCAGGTATTATGCGTTGAATTGTGTCTCCCCTCAAAGATGTTGATGGCCTAACCCCCAGTATCTGTGAATGTGAATTTATCGGGAAATGGAGTCTTTGCAGATGGTCAAGTTGAGTTGAGGTCGTTAGGGTGTGCCCTAATCCAATATGACTGGCATCCTTATAAAAAGGGGAAATTTGGACAGAGGCAGACAAGTCTAGAGGGAAGACAATGTACTGACACAGAGAACGCCACCTGTAAGGCAAGGAACATCTGAGGCTATGAGAAACTAGGAGAGAGGCCTGGAGCACGCCCCCCCTCACAGCCCTCAGAACTGTGAACCAGTAAATCCTTACTGTTGAAGCCACCCAGTTGGTGGTACTTTATTGCAACAACCCTAGCGAACTAATACACCAAATTGTTTTCCAAAGATGTTGTATCTGTGCTTCTACCAGTGGTAGAGTCCCTGTTATTCCACATCCTCACCAACGCTTGATATATTCAGACTTGTAATTTTTTTTTTGCTAATCTGGTGGGATTAACATATTTAATTTAATTTGCTTTTAATTTGCACTTCCCTGTTTACGGATGCAGCTGAGCATCTTTTCATATGTTTATGGACATCTGCATTTCTTCTTCCATGAAATAACTGTTCATATAATTTTACCCTTAGGTTATTTGCCTTTTTCTTACTGATTAATAGGAGTTCTTTGGGCTCTGGAAACTTATTCTTTGATGGTTATCTGTGTTGCAAATATTTCCTTCCAGTCCATGGCTTGTCTCCTTGCAGTATTTGTTTCAAGTATTTTGAAGCTATGTTACCTGGTGCATAAACATTCAAGATTGTTATGTCTTCTTAATGGACTGACACGTTTTTATGAAAAATCCTCTTTACCTTTGGTGATATTCTTTGCTCTGAAATCTACTTTGTCTGATATTAATATGACCCCTCCAGCTTTATTTTGATTAGTACTAATCAGTTGGGTGTTGCTCTTCATGCAATCTGACAAACTCTGCCTTTAACTTGGGGAATTTAGACCATTTACATTTATTGTGGCTGTTTTTATGATTAGGTTTCAGCTTATCAACTTACTACTTGCTTTATATTTGTCACATCCCTCTTTGCTCCTCTTTTCTTCTTTTTCTGTCTTCTTTTGTATTAACTATTTTGTATTATTTCACTTTTATCTCCTTTGTTGGCTTATTAGCTGTAACCATTTTGTTAAATTAAATCATTAAGTGTTGCTTTTATGCAACTAAATAACTTGAAGATGTATACCATAAAACAATATTGTACCGCTTTACATATGGTGCAAGAATCTTAGAACACTATGCTTCCACTCTTCCTTGATGTATTTTTGTCATACATTTTACTTTTACATGTTATGAATACCACACTACATCATTACTTTTGTTTAAAACAGTGGAATGACTGAGCTGTCTGCCTGGAGCAGGACAATGGGCCTGATGGGGGAGCGTTGCTGATGTCCTTCNCCACACTACATCATTACTTTTGTTTAAAACAGTGGAATGACTGAGCTGTCTGCCTGGAGCAGGACAATGGGCCTGATGGGGGAGCGTTCTTGATGCCCTTCTTTGGGCACATGCTCAATGAGGCCCTGTAGCCCTTGCATGTTCTGAGCTGGCAGGGTGTGGCTGGGAGGCCCCTAGAGACATGGGCTAAGCCCTGAGACAGGGCCACACCCAGCACCTTCTCTGCAGGGAGCTGTCCCCCAGGACCAGGGCCAGCTCAGTTGCTATGGACACAGCCTTCATTTACCCCAGGGTAGCACTCCGCTGGTTCCCAAGCTGCCCATTAGAAGTGGGGGCCTCTGGCAGAGCAGAGGAATCCAGGTGTGGCATCACCGAGTTTGTAAGCAGAAGACTCGCATTGTCCTGGACCAGGCAGGGTGGGTCTGTGCTGTGTGTGGTGAGCTCGGGCATCCCCGCCCCGTAGGCAGCAGAGTCCTAGCTGCCTTCAGTCCCTGGGAGAGGAGTCTCCACAGGGGAATCTCTCCTCGAAGCTCGCCTCCTGTTCTATTTTAGGAGTTTCCGGTACAAGAAATAGGAAAACAGAATAAATAAATATATTCATGCTTCCTGTAGAGAGTGGAGGTTGAGTAGAGATGGCTGAGAGGAGACTTTCAGAACAGGGTCTCCTGAGAACGTTAGACTCACTCCCGGCTGGGCGAGGACAGGCGGGTGCTGAGACCGCCCTGTTGACATGTGGGGAAACTGAGGCCCCAGAGTTCTAATAA